TTCAAAAATACAGAAAACGGTTATATTATCGAAAAAGCAAATTGGACTTTTATTAATTTTAAAAATCCCATTAACCTAATTTAATGGTTTACTGATTTTAAACTATTTATTTGAAAGGTTTAATGCTCTTTAAGGGAAATTGTTTCATTTTGCATAGTTTGAAATGAAATAAACATTACACAAAATGTTTAAGAAAAATACAATTTCGCACCAATGCAAAGTTTTCTATCATGACACAACAGTATACTCAATGTCTTTTATATATTAAGATTTAAGTCAGGAAAGAGCAAACACGATATCGAAATTTGACAAATCACAATTCAGAATGTACAAGACACCAAAACCTGTTTGATTACCGGAGGAAGAGCAGAGAAGTTGAAAGATAATTATTAGAAACCTCTTCAAGATTAAAGCTGTAATTAGGTAGGCGTCTACCTTTCTTATAATGATTTGTCAGATTTCGATGTAGTGTTTGTTATTTCCTTTCTTAAATATAAATTTTTGACAAAAATTCTAAAAATGTAAATTTAAAAGGCGGTCTTTACGAAACACCCTGATAATGAATCAACAGTGAGGACACGAAACTGATGATCATACACGGAGAAAAATTCTGGTAAAATTATCTTACTGGCAAAAGTGACAGTTTTGGCAAAAAACAACATAATTCTGGTTAATAAAACTAAAATATACGGTATTTAAACTATTCATTTGGTATTTTTTCGATTCATATGGGATACGGTTTATGGGATACCGAATAAATTGCTTTTATGCTAAAGTATCACGAAAAAAAAATACTCAATTTCTTATTTTTATCCCATTTAAAAAAACCCATATTTTATTATTAATTTTAACCATAAACATTACCAAAGTGCTTCGGTAAAAATTACAGAGATCTTTGGTGTTTCCATAGAGCGGGAAATACGATAAATTTGACCATATTCTAGTAGTTTTAACCATGTTTTTTTCTCAATGTAGTTTCTCAAGTTCTTCTCAAGCAATTATCTTTAGTGGGAAAAAGCCAAATAATCAGGAAATAATAGAGTTGAGAATAATCAAATATAAGCGAATCGAAAATAATTAAAAAAAATTTTTTTACTAAATATTTTGCTTTGTAAATGGGATTTTCAGATAGCAGTTTAAAAAATTTTTAAAATAATTTAAAAAATTCTTTTATATTTTTTGATTAGATGAAAATTTATTTATTCTTGAAACGGAGTTCGCGATTTTTGCAGTATTACTTTCAATTTTTCATCACATTTTTGTATCTTATATTTGTAAATTTTTTTCCACACTTGCTTTGACAAACAGAAACTAATTTGTTAATTAGTTTTTGTTTTTCAAAAAAAAAAAAAAACTGAAATGTAATTTCTGTGACAATATTGAAGACATATTGAAAGAAAAAAATTCCTTTAAATAAAATCAAAGTTGGGCACACAGGAAAAATTCAATGCTTCTTCTAGAAGAGTTACCTTTATTGTAAAACGATTTTTCTTTTGGAAGTATGTCTTGTTATTTGAAAACTGTTTTGTGATGATGAATCGATGATATACGTGCCATTGAATATAAAGTATCGTAATCGAAAACCAATGTGCGAATAATATGCTTCTAAATCACAAGAAAAATGACAGCTAATTTCATGTCGTTGCCAAAACCGGATGTTAAAAGTTTTGTGGATACCATAAGGTTAGAGTGTCACGTCTGAAAATCACGTAAATTCTTTAATATCCGTTCTTTCGGGTGAAGTTTGCAAAATATATCTGATAACAAAGCTGAGAACATGTGATGTTTTCTTCTTCGACGGGAAAATATATATTATGGCAGGAAAGGGTGGTTTATGATTTATTTCTTGATAAAAGATATTTTAAAGCGAACATGAAATAAATTAAATTAAAATGTTAATGTAAAATACAAATAAGGAAATGACCTTTAGCCTCTTTTGTTTACAAAATTATTCTCTGCTCATTAATCCCCAAATTCTTATATTCAATATGTGGTAAGTCGTTAAATTATGGTTAAAAAGTAATGTACTATCACATAAATGTGCATTTATTTGAACTCACCAAAATTACCACGTGTCTTAAAAATAAAATTGGATGTTATGATATGTACCCAAATCAACGTTAAAAACCCTCACTATATAAATAGCTTTAATTCGCTGGGAAGGTTTTCATCTATTGCACGAATATGACGGTTACGCATATTTTTCATTAGACTGTAAAACATTCTGGATCAAATTACTCTAAAAAGTACCGACATTCATGAAGCCGGTACCGTAAAACATATTTTTGTCGGAACAGGTTACGGAAAAAAAATCTGATATACCGTAATTTTTAGAGTATAATTACCATAAAATCATCGAATCACTCCAAGTAAATAAATATTACTATCAAATTACGGCATAATATTTTACTGTAAAATTTACGGGATAAAAGATTTTAAGATAAAGTCGATTTTGCGGAAAATGCCTACCATAATTTGACCGTTACCGTAATTTGATCCGGAATTTTTCACAGCGTGGAAGATACTTTGATTTTGATTCAAGGAGAGCAAGATAACTTTATGCTTTATCTTATCCTAAAAAGTAAGAAAGTGTTAAAAGCTGTAAATTATCCTTAACTATACCTTAACTATAAATGAGTATTCATCCTTAACTATAAATAAGTATTATGAGGTTTATGGAACTATAAAAGGGCTTGTTTTCCAATAGGATGTATTCTTGTGTGTAGATGCCTTTGCAATTTTTGTAAAGGTAATCGCATAAACACAAAGAATATATAGTTTTATGAAGCGTTTTTGCATTATTTTTCTAGAGGTGTATTTTATGTGAACAGTATAAAGTACACAACATCTAGGTAGTATTTTTGTCATTATGACACATTCAACCGTTTTGTTGCTGGTAAAATAAAACTAACAATTTCTCTTATATTTCAAGACACGTTTTAAAAAATAATTCTTTATTTATGATACCAAAATCATGCGATTTAAAGCATTTAACGAAGAAAGGTCATTAATCCATTATTTTAAAGGACGGTTTTGTGATATCAAGGATGTACTAATAACTACTCTGAAAGTAGAAAAAAAGAAGCATGGATTTCTATTTCAGTTCTACAAATGCAAAAAAAAAAAAAAAAAAAAAAAAAGGAAAGAAAAAAATCAGGTAATGGGTCTTCTAGTTAACCGTACGTACTCTATGGTTGACTAATTACAAATCGCACGTTTGGTGATTTAAAATTATTAAATTTCAAAAATTTCTAGTTTTAACTATAGAATACCTTATTGCGTCTGCTTTATTTCTTTTTATAAATATGTGGTATTAAAGGGACGTTTTATCAACGATGTCAACTTTCATCCATCAAAAAGTACCTCAAGATAGATACGAGTTAACATATCTTATATACTACTGAATTGATATTTAATATCATTATTGGTAGCTACGCCTCATTTCGCCCCTTCCAGAATTTTAATCTGTCTTGGAATTCGATGAACGAATACCACTAGTTGACTAATGCTGGTTATTTATTTGTTTTTAATTATTTATTTTCGCTCATTTTCTTATTGATTTATTGTACGGGAGAAGTATATTTACTTCACCTGGTTTATGAACGCTACTTAATGAGCAAATCAGCTAATCAATATGGACCATTCATCGATGTTGGAGAGTCCATATTACGTCCGGAGATCACCAATAAGGCGAGAGTTTATCCACGATGTTAACCTTCATCTATCAAAGGGTACATCAAGACAGAATCGAATTAACCTGTCTTATATACTACTGATCGGATATTTAATATTATTGGTGGTAGTTACGCTACAGCATCATCAAAACTAGCGACATTTAGCACAGAAAGTACAGAGAGATAATTTAATTTAAGGCGATGACTCAATATTAAAAAACTTAACTAGTTCTACAATTTTTGGTCTATTGTAAAAGTTCTTTAATAATATTAAAGGGGTCCACCTACTCACTCAGCTCATCAATCCTTATGATTCCTCCACTTTAAAATTTGCTGTTTTCTTGAAAGGCGATATTTTCAACAAAAACTAAGAACATTTTGTTTTTAAGATGGATAATTTTCATAATTTTATGCAATAACACTTATTAATATTTTCATCGTAAAGAAATGAAGGATTTACATGTATCTGAAAAATAATCTACAGTTCTTGAAAAGGTATAAACTAAAACTTAACAGTTTGCACGATTTAACAAAAGAAATAAATTGAAGAAATTGTACTCCTTAAGGAGACTAGCGGTTTTTATGTGACTTGAATTAAGCATTTTATATTTTTAAACAAATTCAGTGTAAATGTCAAGATTATTGTCTGGTTATACTTAATCTCCCTATCTTCTTTATTTTGTTGCTTTCAGCATCCATTCAAACGCTCCTATTAAATAAAGATCTTGAGAGAGATAAATACATTTTCCAAAACAGTGGATAAATAGTCATTTCTGCAAAAAAAAAAAGGTGAGAAATAACGCGAAAAGGCACTAAAAATTGCAATAACTTCTGAACGAATTGAAATTAAAAAAAAAACTTTACAAATAAATATCGCCCTTCAGTAAGTTAAATTTTTACTAGAAATTTAACGATAAAAATACACGAATTGCATATTGAATTTTCATTTTTTCATATTCCGCAGTAAATCTTGCACATGTTTTACATTCTTTTCCAATTTCTACGTATTTTAGATTTCGCACAGTAAAACAAAGTGTATCGTTAGATTTAAAATCAAAAGCAGTGGCAGTGGCACTCGCGATATTTAAATATAAACTTATTAAAATAAATTTACAAGTATCACATATGTGAAAAAGTCAATTTTCCATTAAAATAAATAGTTTAGAAGCTGGAGCGTGTTCTTGATAATGTTCATTAAATTAAATATTAGTTTAAAATTTGACTTCGCCGTAACCGTTTCTAATAAATATTTATTTGTAAATTAAAAGACTGAATAACATATTTTTCTTTTTTCTACTAGGCTTTTTTTTTAAGGGAAATAATTTTTTTGCAATCAAATTCTCTTTAAATAATAGCAATAATAAACCAAATTTGACGATTTTTTTGAAATTTTAATGATGCTTGTGATATAAATTTACGCAGTTTGTTATAGAAAACTTGTTTCCAGATCTTCTGATATAAAGCAAGATGAAGATTTTGGCTGTGCTGTTAAAAACATTTTTTATTATTGCGTTGTGTCGAGGAAGTGATTTTAAATATGGAGGCTGCCCAAAAGTTGTTGTTATGAACAATTTGGATTTCGATAGAGTAAGAATAAAATTTACTATTTTGTTTACAAAATATAGATTAGTGTTGCTGGTTTCTGTAGCTTTAAATTATTCAATAACTATTTTCTTACTGATTTAAGAAAATAAAGTAAAAATATTTTTTCTGATACCATATGCAGACATAAATTTTATTGGTACTTTTCCGTCTCAACGACACAAGATTTTTATTTTATCCATTTATTTATTTAAAAAAAGTCCCTTAATTAAAAAAAACAACAACAGTCGAATTTACTTGCAGTCAATAAGTTTGCATTGGCGACTTTATCGCCAGCCATTATCTTTATTTTTATGCCATTTAGAAACGGAAATATTAAACAAAGTAAAAATAATTTAAATTTGTATCACAATATATTTTTAAATGATAGTTTTTGATTTTAATGTCTTCTTAATTAATTTAAATGAGTATGAATAGCATTCACTGATAACCAGTAATGGTATAAATTTCATACAGTATAACGAATTTTATCCTTATTCGGCATCAAAATATGGATGAACAAATTATCGCCAAAGGAACAATATCTGCGAACTAAAATATCTTTAAGTTGGAACTACCAGAAAATTCTATTATCTTTCGTTAAGAATTTTGAGACTTTGTCTGAACTTAGTCAGAATCATTGATTTTTTAATTTTTTTTCATCGCTGAAATTCCAGACAAAATTTTATGATAGTTTTTTAAAAGTGATTTTAAAATGATTTTGACTTGAATTTTGACTTGGTTATTTTCTTTGTTATCGCCAAAGAAATAATTCAATCGAATTTGTCTAGCTTCGTTTTAGCATTTACTATTGCATTTGGTACTTTGGTTAGCCAGCCGCAAGCGATAAATCGCCAAATAATTTAGATCTGCGTTTACATAAAATAAGATAAAGTTTTTTGTTATGTTTTAGATAATGATCATTTTTCTTGATCTCTTGTAGAGGTAGTCCTAAAACCACGCAAAAAAAGTACTCCTTATCACCAACTTGATAAACCCCAAAACTTTTTTGTTATACATCTCCACAAATACATTAAAAACGTTGCGGTAGAATAAGTATATCGTAAAAAATTCTAAATCTCAATTCACTTAAGTTTTCAAAGCATATGACTTTATAATATCTTTCGCGGAATCAAAATATTTATCAATGTAGGTTATATTATGCCATCAATGTATAGAATGTCTGTCATGTTTAGGCAAATTATGAAATAGGTGAATTATTAACTGTCCTAAATGATAATTTAGGGAATTACTCAAAAAAATTAAATTATCATTTAGGGCATTTGTAATTATACTACCATCAATGCACAAAATTTGGCATGCAATGACAGTCACAGCTTGAAATGAATTTCAATTAACACATTATCTAGGCATTCTATAAAATTACTAGTGATGAGCTATCAAGGAGTATGAAACGATTAGTATTTCACAGAATGACTAATGAGAAACTTGCAGACGTTCTATAGCATGACAAGTCGAAAGATTTAATAATTCATAAATGTCCGAATTCACCTAAAAATGTCAGATATTCTATCCATTGATTAAATGATATATCCTATATCGATAAATATAAGTTTATCGAAAAACATTATAAGGCCTTATGTTTTAAATTTTTTTATTTAATCTACTTTTGCATTCATAATATAATCTCTCCTTTTTTATTACCAAGTTTTAGCTTTCATTTGAAAAATGACTGTCTTGAAAATTATTTTACTGCCATATATAATCTATTCACGACTGAACTTTTGAGGTAAAGTTTAGCAAAATATACCTACCAAGCATTGTTTCTTTCACATTGATTTAAGAAAAAATATTTCTTTTTGGTGGTAAAGAAAATCAATTCAACTCCTTAGAAACAATTCAACACACAATAAGAAAAAACAATCCAACTTCTTAGAAACAAATCAACTCCTTAGAAAACAATTCGATTCGAATTTTCTTAGAGATTGAAGGAGCAAGAATATGCTAATAACCATGCTTAAAACTGTCATTTTAATTTTAGTTTTCAGGTATTTGGTATGTTATCCAAAGATACAGTCCAAAAGCTACGTGTACGAAGATAATTTTTGAGAAAGCACCTGATGGAACATACACTATGAATGAAACGGGTCGTTTATTAGGTTTGAATTCAAAGTAGGAAAGTTATTTTTATCTGGTATTTGATTTTTATTAATACTTTTTTAGAACATTGAGGCAGTTACTGGAAAACTACTTTAAAGTGATTGTTATTACAAGTTAATGTTTATATGTTTAACTTTAATTTAATGGATTTGCATTTTTATAAACTAATAATGAAAGAGTAAATACAAATTATAATTAAAAAATGGTAGTATTAAATATTATAGGCAAATGCATGATTTTATTAATTATTACATTATACTATTACCAGTATTTATTATTTTTTTATGCACAGTTATAAGAGCTAATTTGCTTTTAATAAAAAAGTACAACTAGACAGTGCCCATTTTTGAGATGTAAATAAAAGAGAATAAGTTAATTTGTTAATTAATAAATAAGCTAATTCTTATTTACTTAATAAAATTCAATAACATTTAAGTTAATTTAAAGGGGATTTTGATTTTTTTATTTACTTATGTTTTCCCTAAAAATTAAAACTTCTCGCATAAGTATTCTATTATAACTTTTATTCTCTAAGTAGTTATAGAGACAAGTGTTATAACTAACAATATTATAATTTCAGACTATTTTTTAAAGCAAAAGTTTGTGTAAGCATAAAACAAAGCTAAGTTAACTGTATTTTTTTAAAGAATAGAACTTTTTAAAAATGAACAATTAAAAGAAGTATAATGGAAATTGGTTGATATATACATATAAATATATTTGGTGCTTGGGTGAACAAGTGAATTGCGAATATTTTTTGAATCTACAAGGCGTTTATTGAATAAAAAAATTACCAGTGTTAGTACTGCTCGTACTATAAAATATTTTACTCATCGTATTTATGATATAAAAGGAAAAGCGTTAAACTAATTTTTTTTTCATTTTATCACCTTTTTTATTTTCATTTGAAAATAGTAAAGACATGCCTTTTTTCCAGCATGTTTTACATTTTAAAAAGACGTATTTATGCTTCAACTTTATAGAGTCATATTTTAATTTCAATAAAAAATGCTGATTTATTTCACGATATTCAATATTTTTTATTATTTTCTTTTAGCACTTTTGATACTAAAACCAGGAAAATAGAGTTTCTCAGAAATGACTCTAGATCTGTTTTTAGAGCTGAAAAAAATATAAGTAAGAATATTTTTTTCTCGCTAAAACGGTATGAAGTTTAAGGATTTAATGTAAGTGCTGACATCTTGTTTACTCTACTACATTGGCAATATTACTTGATGATGTATCCTTTGAATATTATACATATACTTACTATTATTTTTTATTTATTATTATTAATTATTTTATTTTAAAGTCACAGTTCCTTTTTTCATAGCGTAAAGAATTAATTTTTTGGAAATGTCAAATAAAATGATTATTTCATGAGCTTAATCACTAATAAATTTTTAAATTAAGATGTTTAAGGATATTTTGGGAAGGCTCTGCAACAGCATGAAATGCTTTTTTCCGAATAATATGCTATTTTCATAACTGATATGAGTTGGTACTGACTTTGTTGCTCATGAAAGGTCAAGTTTGACCAATCTTTAGCCACTCCTTCTATGTAAAATTCTGAAAATGGCACAAAACGTCAATATGGAGAAAGGCCACAGTTTTGAGAAAAAAGAAAAGCGTATGGGGTCTAATTTTTTAATATTTAAAAACATACTCCACTGCTGTGTTATCTGGTCTCATAAAAGGGGAAAAATGATCCAGTCGAAAATGGGAGTAAGGCATTGATCTTGTTAACTTTCCTCTAGTTAGAAAAATGTCCCCGCTAATCAGAAAGATTTAATAACTTATAAGTTATTTGTCAGTTTTAAAGCCCAGGTAATTCTTTACATCAAGATGACGCATGCAATTTAAAATTATAGCTATGCTTGAAGTGTAAAACACTTAAAATGAGTTTTTTTTTGGTTTTCCTTTGCAAAAGAGCTGCTTCAAAAAAACCATGCTAGTGTTGTAACATATTAAAAAAACTATGAAACAGTATAAAGACGCAGTGAAAGTGCCTATGAATTTAAACTTACAGCCAATAACTGAATAGTTAATTTCAGAAAATTCATGCATGGCGTTTTTTTTTTTAAAATTTAACTCTTCATACGCATTAAAAACTGTTTAGATTAAAAAGAAATAGTAAGCTTGAATACCTTGTACTTTTGTTGAAACTATGTTATTTAACATAAGCTTATATTGATTCTTTAACATAAGATTACATATGATTCTTCAAATTCAGTTTCTTAATATAAACATATGTTTCTGAAATTAAGATCTTTATAATAAACTATCTTATATGTTTCACAAATTAAAAAATTTAAGTTCTTTTACTTAAATATATCCCATATAATTCTTGGAATTAAGTTATTTTAACGTTTCGTGAAATAAGTGTTAACTTTGAACGTAAATTTTGTTTTATTTGGGACACAAAGTTTTATGTGCCTGGTTTAAATTAAAAAAAAACTTTCCCGTGTTCTTTCTGAAATATAGAATTCAATTGTATAATGAATATTTTTTTAGAATGTTTTGCTTGACTTTCGGAGAATACTTTTTAGATCCATATTTCATTTTTTCTCAGCAAATTTAGAATAATTAATTAATTTATTTTTATATACCAGCATATTTTGATTTACAGCTGAATGCATTAGATGTAGAATCGTTTATATAGAGCATATTTCCATCTTTCGAAAATGCGAATGTTATATTAAATTAAATAACAGAGCAAATTTGAACTCTGTAATAACGTCCAATAACAATGGAATAACTACACTTTTAATAAACACACTTTTAAAAGAATATTGATTAATCTTTGAGATTGCTTTGTTATTAATGAAATAAACTGCTGACCTCTTCTCTTTTAATTATAAACTAAATTAGTCTGAGTTGGAGTCGCGTAAAGAATGTGAGTTGTTCATTATAATTGCCGGATACAACAGGAAATAAGAATGACATTTTCATCAACACAACTGACGGAATGAATTTAGGAATTTTAATCTCACCCATATGTTATAGATTCTGTTTCCTCACATAGGGGAATTCGGAAAATTAAACATTTGGAACTAGAAAGTCAGCAAATATCCCCTGGAGAAAAAACTATAAGAGAAACAACAGTTTTAACCATTAAAAGGTTAGGAAATGGCGCTAACGTTACCAAGTGTCATAGCAAATTATAACTATTTTATAAATTTAATGAACAAGTAAATTAGATTTAATAGATTCTAAGAAATACATATCTTAAGAAAATGATTTTTTTGCATTAAATGCTAATAATATTGCGGGGGGGGACCTTTAAGAAATTAATCGGTACATATTGTATGGTGAGCAAAATAAAAACAGATCAACCTGACTAGTTTTTGATCTAATAATTGGATCTTCACGTTCTAGCACTCAATCTTAAAAAATGAAAATACAAAAACGTACTTTCTCTGACTAAACATGAATTTTTTTAGGCAGTTTCGGACTTATACCCCCAAAATAACTTAATCTGGATTGCGGTCCAAAGTTTGGATATCTTAATATTGATTTTACTTTTTGCGTATTTCAGTATATCTCAAGAGCTTCTTGAATGAATTCAAAAATTTTTGTACACAATTAAAAATATAGTTTATCCCAAGATAATGCCACGATAAATATAACTTTCAGTAAATATTGAATATTGATTATTATTTTATTTAATAAGAGTTGAAAAAATTTTGAATTGTAAGTTAAGTAATATTTTACATCATTTTAAAAAATGCAATTTTAAATGAAAAGATAAAAAAATTGTGCAAAAATCGGTCGAATAGTTCTTGCGAAATCAAATTTTCAAAATGTCGTCTTAAAAATGTAATTTAGGATATCTTCTTAATTAATTAGCGCCTGTAATAATTAATTATCATTAATTATCATAGGTGATTCCCTCGAACCAGAAAAGTTGAGTCTTCGAACGTAATGATCCGATCATTAGAACAAAAGTTATTTAGGGTGGTCAGTTTATTTTTTTGTTATCATATTTTGCTATCCGATTACACCTCTCTCCCAGCGACCGGACAAACCTCCACACCAAATGCTGAAAAGGTCAAATAAGTAAACACGAAAAAATATTAACAAAACAAATAAGTAGATTCAAAACGCATTCAAAATATTTTTGAGGGGCTCTTATCTTAAGAATCTTATATTTGGCTCTTATATCAAGAATCTCTTATATCAAGAATCGAGGGGCTCTTATATCAAGAGGCTCTTATATCTAGAATCTCTAATATCAAGAATCGAGGGGCTCTTATATCAAGAATCTTATCTTTGAGGGGCCCTTATCTTATCCTAGAGCTCTTTTTGACGATCTCTGAAAGAAATCGACAACCTCAAGTTGCAGCCAGAGTGTACTAAAGTCAATGCTACCAATGATTCCTTTTTAGAGTTGAAAGTTAAATTAAAAAACAAAAAAATTCAAAAAAACAAGGTATCTCAACAAGCAAACCTTTTCTTTAAATAAAAGCTAATTAATTTTTATGATATAAAACTAAACGTAAACTTAAACAAAATAATATTGATTATTTTCTCAAAATAATTTCAAAATACTATCATTCATAATTGGTACATTTGTTTGTACACACAATTATATCAGTAGGGGTCATATTTATTGATGCTAAATTTCATTTCTGTGTTTAGATTTCGTGACTCCAATGCAAATGACCTTTTCCCACCTAGAAAAGAACACGGAGTAAAATTAAAATCGCTTGCGAAAAATTATGTACTTTCTATAACATTTTGAAGTCAAAGGAGTTAACCCCTAAGAACGACTAACCTCCATTATCGACCATTTTACTGTGGAACAGAGAGTGGTCACCCCCAAGAGGTTTCGTTGTATTAAGGAAATATGTTTTCGAAAATATTTAATGTTTTCTTCAACCACTGTTTTTCATACCCGCTGAAACAATTTGCATAAATGTCTAATAGGAATTTTGAAAAATATTGGCGAAAAGTTTTACACAATATATTCAATTAATTTATTAAAAATGATTTTTGCACTTTTTTCATTAAATTTATATATATAAGTTGCACATATACAGTATGGTGGTTTACATATATAGTAACCGGGGGAGGTTCTAGTAGTCTTCTTCTCCATGCAAAGCCAATGCGGGTTAGCTCCATCAAAAAGTCGTCCACGAGGGCAAATTTCTCCCAATACTCGATCCAGGAGTTCCCTTGTCTTCTGAATTGAGTTCAAAATTACAAGAATACGGAGTTGAACATTAGTAGTAGTAAACCCACGAAACTGGGTCAGCTGTTTAGCGATGGTATAATGTAAAATAAAATGCATAGTATGGTGACCGGGATAGCCTAGTTTGTAGGGCACTGGGCTAATGTCTAAGAGGTCGTAGGTTCGACCCTATCCCCGTGTAGTAAATGGTGGGTAAATGGTAACACTCCCCATGTAGTAAATGGTGACTGACGCACGTTAAAGCTGTCGAATCACAAAGTCCTCCATGTTCCCACAACAAATCATACCTCTGGGGGTATTGATCCAGGAGTTTCCTTGTCTTCTGGATTGGCTCAAAATTGCAAGACTGGGGAATTAGACATTAGTAGAAGTAAACTCAAAAACATTAGGTCGGCTGTTCAATGACGGTTGAAAAATAAAGTGTTTAGTATGGTGCACAGAGCCAATAAGTAGATATAATGACGTGATGGAACAATAATATTATGTAAGGAAATTCTTTCCTTTTTAGCTCACTTCACTTTAAGCACATTCGGTGTTATTGATACCAACTACGTCATGTACGCCATTGTCTGGGGATGTGATCCATTTCTCTTCGCCAGCGTCCAAAACATTGACATAATGTCTCGAATTCCAATTCCTTCAAAGGATTTAGTGAAAAATGCTGAACGATTACTCAAGGATTTATCAATAGATTATTCTTCAATGAAGAACGTGGATCAGTCAAATTGTACTGAGCTTCCCTCAACGACAACCTCAAGCAGCAAAGATACCAACAATATAGTTATCGCTTCAAATCCTCCGGAAAGAACAGAGAAGCAATAAGTCACTCAATTATTTATGCAACTTTGACCTTACGACGTGATGTATATTTACGGACAAAAGTTTGTTAATGCTGTAAGTGAAGCTTCCGTCAAATTCTGTGTTCTTCCTATTACACCGTGTATAAATACCTATCGTGTTTTGATTATTCCAAATAAATAAAAAAAAACGAGTATTATGTTGCGCAATAATTTTTCAGTAATTTAGTTTCCTTTGCTGTTGTATTTGACATACCCATAAAAAATAAGGTAAATAAGGATAAAAATTAAAGATGAACTAAGTTTGATACTCAAATGTAAATGTTGAACTTAAAATAAAATTGCAAAAACACATTTTAAATCCATATTTGGGAGCAAAAATGTGAAAATAAATTACCCATAGAACGAAAATGATGGGGCAGTTTTGGATGGGGTACCATCATATTGTGAAACTGAAGTGAACCACATCTTTAATTTTACGTGCACGAAAGATACAAATTAATTTTTTCCCTTTTAGTCTACACTAAAAAACACGCTTTTTAAACACCTAAACACATTTAAAAAACATGTTTAACAAGTAAACTAAAAAAAAAATTAACAATATAAAAATGTCATCATTTAATAATTTTCTTCATATTAAATGTTGTGCCTGTAGACTTGCTTATAACGAAAATTGGTAAACATTTTGACTGGCGAAAAAATCCATTAGTAGCGATGAGAAAAATCTATCTATCTTATTATATAAAACGCTAATACGTACGTATGTATCAATAAAACCGATGATATTTCTTTTCTCGCGCTGGCAACAGTTTTCATTTTTAATTGATAGGATTCGGCGCGCAAGAGCACGTAGTGAGAATCATATGGCTAATTCATGTTACATAAAACGCTAATACGTTTTAATTGAAGGCTTCGGCGCGCAAGAGCATGCAGTGAGCATCATATGTATATCTATCTCCGATTGTCACCGAGAAAAAAACGGTTGGTTGGTTATGAGTACTGAAATAGTTCCTTTACATTGGCGGAAATGAGAAGTGTTATGCTATTGCTATTTTATTTTGAATTGAGCGCTTTACTATTCCACGTTTTGTTATATTATCTTTACATCTGGCGTTCAGTGGCATACTACTATTTCATATTGGGTTGGCGAGCGCCAGCGAGCAGGGGGCGAAGCCTCCTAGTTGCGATTTAAATTCTTTCAGCTTAAAGCTTCAGTAAGATTTTTTTTCTTACAACCGTAGTTGAACAGCCGACCTTATTTTGGGGCTTCAACTTCTAATTTTCAACTCCGTAACCTTGTAATTTTGAACCCAATCCAGAGGACAAGGTAATTATTGGATCAAATAATGGAAGAAATTTGCCGTCCTTGGAGGACTTTTTAACGACCTCTTAACTAACGGTAGCTAATCCCCTTTTGCGTTACATAGAGAAGCAAGGGAACTCGGTTTTTATTTTATTTTATAACCGTCGTTGAACAGCCGATCCAATTTCATGGGTTTACGACTACTTACGTTCAACTCCGTAGCCTTGTAATTTTGAACCAATCCAGAAGACGAGGAAACTCCTGGATCAGTACCCCCAGAGGTATTGATTTGCTGTGGGAACATGGAGGACTTTGAGACTGGACAGAATTAACGTGCATCAGTCACCATTTACTACACGGGGAGTCTTCGGCCGGCGAGGATCGAACCCACGACTTCTTGGACATGAGCCCAGCGCCCTACCGACCAGGCTATCCCTGCCCCAAGGGAACTCGGTTTGAATTTTCTTATAAGTCGGAAAACTACAACGCTGCGGAGTTGAACATTGATAGTCCTGAACTCAGAATTTTGTCAGCTGTTCAACGCAGGTTGTAAAATAAAATATAAAATAGTCAATAAAGTGAACCGTGGTGGCTCAGGGAAGAGAGCTATTGCCCCTCAAAGAGGTGATCCAAGCTCGAATCCAAATGGTGTCTGGTTGATACGAATTCTGCTCCCTGCTCGTTCAGACAATTGTGCGGATTTAAAATTTCCTCATTGGTGGACGGACTAAGGGTTAGAATCCTCTTGCAGAATTCGGGTTAGGTTCCATCAAAAAGTTCTCCACTTAGGCTAGTTTTTCTCAATGTGTGATCTAGAAGTTCCCTTGTCTTCTGGGTATTTTTCTCTCATGTCTTCTGGTTTCAGCTTGCCTATAAGGATACGGAGTTGAACATTGATAGTTGTAAACTCAGAATTGCGCTTGCTGTTCTACGCCGGTTATAAATAAAATAAAAAGAAATAGTCTGGAAGTGAACTAAATTTCTGTTGTGAGATTTGTTCCACAAATAATAAACGAGAAAACATGGTAGAAAGTTAAGAAAAAGTGGTAATTTCTTGAAACATATGAAAGTAGATTTTAAATGTAAACCAAAAATTCCCTCTAATTAAAATAGTTAGAAAAATCTTTCGGATCAAAAATATAAAAATAGAAGTACTGAAACATAAAAATTACATAAAAATTACATAAAAATTAAACCTAATTTCTCACTTGTGTAGATAGCAAACCTTTATTTTACATCTCTTTCGCCCCACTTTCTAAGTAAATTTGAGTTGGTGGCTAAAGTTTACTTCGGGGGAAGGGTAACATTTAACTGTTCAAAATAGGCAAAAACACCATCTTTCAAAACTATTTCCCCTGTATTATTACTGCATTTAACTACTTAAGAAAAGGTCTATTATCATATGCCAAATTTAGTTTATATACAAAGAATCCATTTTTTTAGGCATTAGAAATTTGGAGAGATTTCCTTATCGAAAGAACGCCAATAAATTGCGAATTCAAAGCACTAACAGTTACTATAACAAGGGAATAAAAATTTGTAAAATATGAAACGTATATAAAAACGAAAATAAATGGGTATAGAATTATTAAAAAAAGTGGTATGAGTTGAAATCGTGAAATCTAAGACAGTTTTATGGAGGATGATAAAAGAAAGAGATAGAAAAGAATACTTTAAATAAGGATAAATAAAAAAATTTCAGAAACGTATTAAAAACCACAAGTTTTTATCCCTCCATTTCTCAGTTCCATTCTTTATTCATTGCTTTTTTTTCTTTCTCTTTCTGCTGAAATCTAATCACGAGTCTATTCAAATGGTAAAACATACGATTTACTTGGTCTTATCTTTCTTAGAAAATATTTCACCACCATCTATGCACGAATTCTTTTAAAGTCAGCTGTTAAATTTTCTTTCAATCTGAAGAAAAGGACTTAATCAAATTGAGTCAAAAGAAGTGTGTATACTTTAGACAAAGAACGCAAGATTGTTTGATTTTTTTTCCTGATAGGAATTAGAATTTTACTAAAAAAACATTTTATTCTTCAAAGGTCAAATCAATTTTCTCTGTATTTAGCATTCTCTGATACTAGGTGGCTAGTATTGTCTGAGAGAAGCTTTAAGGCGTTTGGGTATTTTTTTGTCGGATTATCTAAATATAACAAAAGTAGTAACCCACTATATAACAACTAACTCAACTGTTTTTTAGAATATTAAATTATGATAAATACACTCTTAAGAAAATTGGTCCAACTTTTAACCGGAATATTAGTACTTTCAAGCTGAAAATAGAGCCAATTTGCTACACTTTTAATAAGGTGTTCAATAGAACCATGTTTCTGCACACGTGCAACCAAACTACTGTGAAAAAGTCTAAGAATTCTAATTATTTGGTTCAACTTATTCTATTAAGGTCACTGCATGTCTTGAAAGTTCGCAATTGCTGTTCATCCAGTACTATTGTTGCTATTTTCTGGTGATCGCACTTGCCAGATATTTTTATAGTTATCAGTAAGAGCTCGCCGAGTACGAAACCTTAGCAGAACTTAACAAAGGTGAATTACTCCGCAAATTCAGTCAAATAATAATTAAAACACAGAAAATTATTATATAGCTATAAGTTAGGGCAGCAAATGGCAAATATTTTATGCGAAGTTAACTTAAGTTTAACTTTGCAGAAGACAGAGAGAATAATGAGCATTCTAGATATTTGCTAGAAAACAACCGTGATTGTCCTCAAAGACTACCTTTGGCAAAATAAATTTTACCAATTAAGGAAAATGGGAATAGTTCTTGGTTTAAGTCCGCACACTTTCATCTAAATGAACTTAATCGACTGGATCAACTTCAACGCATTGAAGAGTTGAATGATGCAATACAAATAAAGAATTGTAAATGCCATGAAAAATTCGGCTACTATAAGCCTTATTATTATTAATAATAATAATAAAGAAAAAAAAACGCCGTAACAAGATCAAATAAAAAATGCAGATGATATTTGTTTCTACATAATTACAGTCACGGCCGGTGATTTTAATCTAAACAAGAATATCAAAGAAAGAAAAGAATTCTGTGATATTTTGAGAAACATATATTGGCTGGAATTGAAAACCTATCCAATTGGACTATTAGAACAATCCTACGACAAGAGGACCGACATCAATTTATTCAGTTTTTGTAGCCAGTGAGTTGAAATGTTGCGGTTGATTGACTTATTTAAATTAATCATTGCACTAACAACTTAACTAAATATTGCATTAACACTAGCATTGATTACAATTATGTACTTGCAACCAAAGAAGAAGACGATCACTTATACATAAATACGTATTCTAGCTCAGCGCCAACTGATAATTTTTAAACAAGATGGCGTGTTAAAGTGGAGCTAAGTTTATCCACATAAATTAAAATGCTAGTTTACGAGAAGTTAATTAAATACACTATCGTATCGCACGTAGAATTTTCTAAAATATAATTCTTTCTCTTCAACATCTTTAACTTAACTTAGATTTATTATTTTTTATGTATTTTATAATAATCGTGATATGTTTAACCTGGCAACTTCATAACCAGCATAATCAGTTTGTTTATGCTCTACATGGCTGTTTGCGAGTCTTTGTGTTAAGGAAGAAATATATAATAAAAAAAATTTAAATCTTTGTGAAATAATACAGAATGTGTCGCTTAAAAGAATTGATACTTGACGGACTTGGCTTACTCGAAATAGAATGTATAGAACAGTTGATAACATAAATAAATGCCACGTTGTAACAACCGATCAGGATCTAGATACACATTCCACGTGATTTGCAGGCATTCTATTAATAAGTTATTTTAAACTACACAGAGAAAAAGTTGTGG